CTGATTGTGTATTCAAATATAAGGCCAAGAAAGTTATGAACAATTAATTCTACTCCTATTCCCCTCTCCTTTCTCTTTTCTTCATTTTCTTTTGTCTAACCCAATGGTTTTATTCCCTTCCCCAACCTCCCTTGTTTTGGTTTACAACTACTTTTTCGGGAAGATAAACTAATCTTCATTGTACAGAGAAAAACTAATCTCCCAAGGATTAAGGAGAATACCTAAGGCTATATAGTAGTGAATCTTTATTCAAAAGGCTTGGCTCTTTTCACCAAGGGTCTTTGACTTCTTATACAATTAAGAGGTGGAAACAATATTAAAGAGTGGTAGCTTTCAGTTTTCAGATGGTAACTGGGTTTATCATTTGGTGTAGAGCAAAGCCAGTCTCTGTCTGCGTTTGCTGCTACACCATCCAGTGGTTCTGCAGAGACCTCCCTGTCTGGTCTCTACCTTTCTCCAGGCCCAGAGCATGCCAGGTACATAAATCTGGGCCTCAGGAAAACCCACAGAGATAATTTTGGATTTCTGCTTAGTCCTCCTTTACAGTTCAGCTGAGACTAGTTAGGTTCTTAGTCCAGTAGGTGCTCAGTCCTTGTAGGGGCTCAGGTCCATGCTCCTTAAGGTACTCAGAAAAGAAGCCCATAAATTCCATTTTTCCACACCTGCTCTCTCCCAAGCTTGCCACAGGAGCTACTTTGGAATCTCCTAGGTCCCAGGTGTACAACTAGCTCAATGTTTAAGCTCAAGGAGCAAGGTCTGGAGAAGGATTGGTTGCAGAGAGACAGCATGCTCACTCCTCATCTTTAATCCCACCTCTACAGCATAGAAGTGGGACGTCCTTGTCACATTGGTAGTAGTAATTCCTTCACAAACATCAGTCACACCCCAGACACAGTTTGGGGACTCCTGAAAAAGTGTCTCCTAACCCCTACCTGGGTTTACTCCATACTGAGCCCAACACAGGTGGTCAAAAATGCCAGTACTGGTTGGGCGCTGTGGCGCATCCCAACAGCTCCAGAGGCCAAGACAGGAGGATTGTGAGTTCAAAGCCAGGCTCAGCAAAAGTGAGGTGCTAAGCAACTCTGTGAGATGCTGTCTCTAAGTAAAATACAAAACAGGGCTGGGGGTGGGGCTCAGTGGTTGAGTGCACCCGAGTTCAATCCCCAGTACTAAAAAAAGCAAAAAACAAACCAAATAAGTGCCAGTACTGGAGAAGATGCTCTCTTTGAATTGATAAAATGAGTTGTTCATACTTTTTTTCAAGGAACAACTAAAGCAGAGAACATTGAATAAAATTCCACTATTGGGTCGCCTTGAACACTTTCCTCAGCCTGTCTGAGCTCAGGTTTACATTCACAGTGG